ACACTTCTTTGAATCTAGTAGTCCAGGACACTATTATATTATAGGTACTTAACTTTTTTGTGTGTTTCTTAAGTGCAAGTCGGCCATCGCTAATATGACAATCAGTAATTCGGTTACATGAGTAATCTGGCACTAATTTCGGCAAGCATAATTTCAAATTTCTGGGGTTGCCACACCAACCTGCCGTTAGTGTTTGGTGGCGTTATTTCCTGCAAGAGTCATTCCAATTTCTTTTTCTCCATTTATTGTTATAACCTGCTCACTTTTAGCTCTAGCCATAGTTCCAACAAATAAAAGATATGCTTCTCGTTGTGTAAAGCACATACTCTGTATATTGTCCATAATAGTGAAGGTGGCTTTGAAGCCACTGTTGGTCGCCATGAGCTCAGCTCACTCAGATAAGCTGTAACTGGTAAATCTGGGCCTACATATGAGAGAATAGGTCTGTGTGGTAAATGTGTACTATATAAAAAAAATCCTGCAGCACGAAGTGCATAATGAGAAAAAAAAAATTGCGACCATGGTGTAAAGCACCGACTTTGTGGTGTATTTTCGCATAATTATAAAAGTAATAACAACAACAATAATAATAATAATAATAATAATAATAATAATATCTTTATTTACTACAAGTACACGTACAAGGTATACAGACATACTACTATAGAGAAAGTCGCTTGTTATGCTGAGCATAACAAGCATAACAAGTTTTGTCCCAGGATGCGACCCACGCCAGTCCACTAACACTCAGGTACCCAATTTACTGATGGGTGAACAGGGACTTCAGGTGTCTTATGGAAACACGTCCCAATGTTTTCCAGCCGTACCAAGGGAGATTTGAACCCCGAACCTCAGTGTGTGAGCTGAGTGTGCTAGTGATCGAGCTATGGTTGTATTCTCATTTGATAGAATGGAAGATATACTACAGAAATAGATATAATTTTGATTGGTTTCACGAGGAAAAATACCTTGAAATTAAGTTGAAAGTAGCAGAAATGTCTGATTTTTGCGGATGTCAGGAGTAAACGAATGACGTCACTGTCGAATGTGTGTCCAAATGGCCAGTCTAATATGCAGTCACAAATGGGTTGACATTATTTATACAATTATTACAATAATGCATTAATCTACTTAACAGTAAATCTTCTATTTTTTTTGTGTGAATAAAAATTCAAAATGAAAAGAAAGCGTAATATAAGAAGGCCTGGAGACGTGACTAATGAACAAAGAAAATGTCTATTTTAGTGCCAGGAATGTTTGCATTGTTTATTCTGGACCATATATTGAAATTGGCATCTTCTGAAATTTGTGAGAAATTGGCCAGATTACCAATTTGTGACCACTTTATTGGGTAGTTGAAATAAGTGAATGGACGGTTTCTTGTACTCATTCAACAGAATAGAAGGAATGGGGCAAAAATAGGGCGTAATGTGGGTGAAATTGCCGATGCGTAAATATCACTGCTGGGTTAAGTGTATTCTAACCTAATCACTCTGTAATAAACCATACCACGGGAGGGGATAGAACCCGCGGTCAGAGAGTCTCAATACTCCAGACCGCCACGTTAGCCACTGAACCAGCCCGTGGTATGGTTTGTTTGCAATCGTGTCATTACGATTTCGTGAGTCATGTTAACGGCTTTGAGGGGACTTGAGCTAGAGTTCGTCACGGCCACGCTAGCTGGAGATTTGTCTGTAAAAACTTGCATTTGTGGTCACAGTGGTGCCTATGCTAAGCTTCCTATGGTGTAGAAATATACCTAGTTGGACGAATCTTATTGTGGCTAGCTGGTTCAGTGGCTAACGCGACGGTCTGGAGTTTCGAGATTCTCTGATCGCGGGTTCTATCCCCGCCCGTGGTATGGTTTGTTTGCAGTCGTGTCATTACGATTTCGTGAGTCATGTTAATGGCTTACCCTTAACCTGCACACATGTATGAACTACCTAAGATACGTAATAATATTTCTCTGAGACCAATCACATCAAGTATAGGTAGTGCACAACACAAACCAGCCAGAGTTCTCACCAAACATCTTTCAAGCTTTCTGGGTACTATCAGCCCTGCCCATCTATAACATTCAAGCGACCTCCTGAACTGCATCAGAGACTTTTCCATCTGACACAAGAAACTAAGTAGTTCTGACGTAACTTCCCTCTTCACTAAAGTACCCACCACATAAGCCATAGATATTCTCTTCCTCTACCTCACAGGGATTTCATTGACCTGACTGAGCTCCGCCTTTATTCAACTGCTTTTTGTCAATAATAAGCTCTACAAACAAACCTATGGTATGGGAATGGGGCCCTTACATTATCAGTGCTGTCTTCTGCAACTAGTATATGGAATGCCTGAAACTAAATGCTTAGCCAGCATCATCCCCAGCAGTGTTAGTTGGTTACGTTGTGTGGACGATGTCCTCATAATAACTCCCAAACAATTTGATGTGTGGAATCTTCAGAGAAGGCTCAGCACACTCATCTTTGCTCAGTTGACTTCGCCCATGGCAGGACATAGACACTGACACCCACCATTGCCATCTACCTATGATCCCCATGGGGGAAGGGAACTTTTACTCTGCGCCCGTCAACATATGTGGTCCTCCCCCTTGACCCTCGGCGAGCTACTCAAATCGTGTGAAAATCAGACCCAGCAATGGGGCAGTTAGCGACTCATCCAAATTAGCACTTGCAGCTGCCATCAGGGGCAGCTTGCAGGTCAAGTTTAACATGATTCACCAAAATGCCTGAACTGTAAGAGCGACCACCACACACTTGCTGCCAAGTGCTATGTATGAAGAGAAATCTTCAAGAAAAATCAAGAGGAGCAAAAGAATTCATCTACAAGGTTTCCAGCATACACTACCATCACCAGATTACAAGCCACCGTCCTCCATTAGCAACATAATACCTCAAATACCTGACGGCGTACCTACAATAATCCCCTACTGCATGATTATGCTCAGATGCACAATATGGCAATACCAGGAACCTTTAACATGCCAAGACTTAACATGCCAAGTTTTACCTTCACAGATTCTTCACCTTCAACTGATATATTCAAGTACACCGCCAAACTCGTCAGTGTCACAACAACCGAAAGCTGCTCTCAAGCAGAACTATCTCCACCTTGATGAGAGACTCCTTCAGTTCCCACCAATGAGATGACGCCAATGATTTCCACCACCATTGCTGCTGACCAATCAGCATCCTCACCTCAACCACACCAACCTAAAGCCAAGAGAGCGAAAACACTACTACCAGCTGATAAAAACATGGATGCAGAAGTAGATGATCCTCCTCCCTACATCTCCTGGGTAAATATTATTTTCTATACAGCTTCATCATACGATAAAGAATTGTATCTGGAAGACCTGTACACACATATTCAATGTGGAACAGTCAAATTTACCTGAGTCCCTGCAAGTAAATGCTCGACCAAAGCACTGCTGGAAAGCATTCAAAAAGCGCAAAATAAGATAACCAAGGTTATACTCATCATCATCCCCGAACACAGATTCAACAACCTTAAAAATGGATCCTCCTCCAAAGATATGAAATAACTCCAAAACTCCACCAAAACCATCATGAAACTGCAACCTCTCTTCTCTCTCTCTCTCTCTCTCTCTGAAAAGACCATCGACCAATCACCATGTAGCTGCCATTTCTACCTCTCCTGCAACCCTCCAGCCACCATCAAGACACAAGACTCAGTTTTCAGTACGTCTAGCTTGTGATCTGCCTATCATTTGCTTGCATACATATACTTCACAGTGCCTTTTGGCTGAGTCTAGCCCTGGCTCTTTTTCATCGACTGAAGACATTCCTCTCCACAGCTATTCTTCATGTGTCCCCACTTCCCCACTCACCCCTTGTGGGGTCTTACCTGCGAGTCTCTTCTGTTCTGTTCTAGCTCAGTGCAGTTGAACTGGCTATCCAGTTTACACTTGAAGAGGAGTCCAATGGCAGGTTTCTTTTTCTAGATATCCTTATTCACAAAGTAGATAACACTCTAAGGTTTCAAGTTTAGAGGAAGCCTACGAAAAAAAATGATCTCACACAGTCAGGATACTAAGACCAAAAGAGGCATCACCATCACTGGAATTTTCCTAAGAGCATTCCTAATTTGCAGTCAAGAGCTTCTTGATAAGGAGCATACATGTATCCAAAAAACCCTTCACTGATCGACATTTCACTTCTTTTTTCATCAAAGACAACAAAACAACGAGCCCTCCAGATCATCAATTTTCCACACACTAACACCACTGGCTGTAGGGAAGGATTATAACTTTATTAAATAAAGTTATAATCCTTCTCTACAGCCAGGTTGTACTGGCTAGAAATTGTTATCACAACCAGTACTTTCACGAAAGATCTGCCTAGGATGAAATTGAAGAATATTGAACCAATCAATGAAGGGGTTTACACTACTCCCTGTGGAGGTTGTGACAGAATATACTTAGGTGAAATGGCAGGAAACCTTGAAAAATGTCTCATTGAGGAAATTAATACATGTGGGAATGATAACTCGAACAATATCTGCATACAGCACCAGAATTCTGCGAACCACCTGATGAAATTCAACAACGCCCGCCTGTTGATTAAAATTCCAATTTCCATGAAAAAATACCTCAAATCATCATTAATCACTATTTCTAACACAGACAGAATAAAGGCAGCTTCATCATCTTTGAAGTATTAGCAAGAATTCTTCTCAAATCGATAAACCCTGCCATCACATAGCTACTACCACTACAACTACTACTACTATTATAAGTACTACTATTACCTACAATGATTATATTATGCTTCGCACCTCATCTGTACCTATACATACCTTCTGTGTCCCTGTATTGTTTGTAACAGCTTAACAAAGCTCTTGGAGAGCGAAATGTTGCCACAATACAATGTCGCATTAGTTGCACTTTTGTCAGTAATTCTACCAACATTAGGGTATAGATTGTTGCTGGCAACTACCATTAATATTTATGTTGATAATAACAGGTGCAGGAGACTATCAAGAAGGCTCTGAACATGACCACAGAGACAGGTGCCACAGCTGTCCCTGTCCTGGAAGATTCTGGCTCCACCATTATGGAGAAAGTTGAGCTAATTACTGGTGAAATATCTCCCAAGAAGTTAACTGTAAGTTGAAAATCCTTGTTAGCTTCTTTTTCATGTAATACAGTATAATATTATTAATATTTAAAATATTAATATGATCACCATAATATTCATTGTTAAGAATGATTACTTACTCTTTTATACCTTTACTTTGATAAACTTGCTACATAAGTTATATATACACTACTTTTCATAATGGTTGGTAGGTAAGATACATAGGCAACAATTAGGCAACTTTATTCCGAAACATTTCGCCTACACAGTAGGCTTCTTCAGTCGAGTACAGAAAGTAGGCAGGAACAGTAGAGATGTGAAGACGATGTAATCAGTCCATCACCCTTGAAGTAGTAGATTTTAGGTTGTCAGTCCCTCAGCCTGGAACTGAACTTCTCCAGGCTGAGGGACTGACAAACTCAAATCTACAACTTCAAGGGTGATGGACTGATTACATCGTCTTCACATCTCTACTGTTCCTGCCTACTTTCTGTATTCGACTGAAGAAGCCTACTGTGTAGGCGAAACGTTTTGGAATAAAGTTGCCTAACTGTTGCCTATGTGTTTTACCTACCAACCTGTCGGTATTGTATACCATTTTGATATTTACTCTTCATAATGTTTAGACAGACAGGTCACTCTAACATTCCTTACAGTTATCATACTGTCATGAAAATAGGCATTGTATCAAGTAAACCAAGTGAACGTCCATTCCAACGCTGAAACAGTATATAAACTGAATAACTTTTCCACCATACTATTAAATCTTTCCAGCTAACTCTTAAACTCTAATTAGTGATTATCTCAATGATAACTATCTCAAATCTCTCTTCCTATCCCCAGCTAAATATATAGAAATTACTTCAACAATAAAATCACTAGCAAAGCAGGAAACAAAGTACCATCACTGATATACAGTGGTCCCTTGACTTACAATGGGCTGGAGTTACGATTTACTCCCATAGAGGAATTTTGTCTTTGAGTTGTAATTAAAAATTGGAGATAGGATATGTCTGTTGGTATGACTGTTGTGGGTCGCATCCTGGGATACGATATGTCTGTTGGTATGACTGTTGTGGGTCGCATCCTGGGATACGATATGTCTGTTGGTATGACTGTTGTGGGTCGCATCCTGGATACGATATGTCTGTTGGTATGACTGTTGTGGGTCGCATCCTGGGATACGATATGTCTGTTGGTATGACTGTTGTGGGTCGCATCCTGGGATACGATATGTCTGTTGGTATGACTGTTGTGGGTCGCATCCTGGGATACGATATGTCTGTTGGTATGACTGTTGTGGGTCGCATCCTGGGATACGATATGTCTGTTGGTATGACTGTTGTGGGTCGCATCCTGGGATACGATATGTCTGTTGGTATGACTATTGTGGGTCGCATCCTGGGATACGATATGTCTGTTGGTATGACTGTTGTGGGTCGCATCCTGGGATACGATATGTCTGTTGGTATGACTGTTGTGGGTCGCATCCTGGGATACAATATGTCTGTTGGTATGACTGTTGTGGGTCGCATCCTGGGAAACAAGATTAACAAACTATATTTCTATAAAGCGAAGAACAGTACATTATAAAATTAGGGTAACTGATGTATATAAACTACTTTGCAGAAAGTCCTTTACTGTGCAAGGCATTTTGGGCAGACTTAAAATTAAATTATGATTACTAGTGTATGAGAATAAAAAAACATAGTTTATATTATATTGGAAGTATTAGGTAATTGAATAAACAAAAAAAAATCTAATTAGTGATGCATTAAGGATGAACTTAGGTACAAGGGTTAAAGGAATGATGGAACAAAGAACAGGATGCTTTCTATATACAGTGATGTCAGCTAGGTCTGTAATACTTGCATCATGTACTTTTAGAAATAAAGATTATTATTATTATTATTATTTATTATTATTATTATTATTATTATTATGATTATTATCATTATTATTATTATTGTAAAGCAGAGAATCTGTAGTTTGGAAATTAGGAGGTGTCGGATTACCAAAACTATTATTCAGAGTGCTGAGGAGAGGTTGTTGAAGTAGTTCAGACATAAAGAGAGAATGGAACAAAACAAAATGACTTCGAGAGTGTATAAATCTTCAGTGGCAAGGTCGGGGTCGGCCTATGAAAGGGTGAAGAGAGGGGGTAAAGGAGGTTTTGTGTGTGATGGGCATGGATTTCCAGTAAGCATGCCTGAATTTGCTTGATAGGAGCGAATGGAGACAAACGGATTTTAGGACTTTATGTGCTGTTGGAGTGTGAGCAAGGTAACATTTTAGAAGGGATTCAAGGAAACCAGAAAGACGGACTTGAGTCCTCGAGATGGAGGTGGGGAGTACAGTGCCAGCACTGTACTTCCCACTGTATTTACTGTACTATACTGTACTGTACTGTACTTACACTGTAGTGTAAGCGCACCTCTGGCAAGACAGTGATGAAGTGAATGATGATGACATTTTTTTTTCAGGCTGCCCTGCCTTGGTGGGAAACGGTCGATGTGTTCATAAAAATAAAATAATTGTTATAAACTAAAGAAGGAGGCAGATAGCATATGATATAAACAACTATTGGAAGAAAGATGGGCTAGTTAGAGTACAGGGAATGAAGTTGAAGAGGTGTGGGGTATATTTAAGAATGTAGTATTAGTGTGTTCAGCAGAAGTTTGTGGTTACAGGAAAGTGGGTGTGGGAGGGATGAAGAGTGATTAATGGAATGATGAGGTTAAGAGAGTAGTAAGAGAGAGAAAAAGTTAACAAATGAGAGGTTTGTATCAAAGTAGAAGTGATACAAGGAGAGATGAGCATATGGAGAGAAAAAGAGGTTAAGAGATGCTATCAACAAATTTTGTTGAGAATATGAAAATGTTATGAGTGTGATAAATAAGTAGAGAGCCTAGGGAACAAATGGATTTTTTTTATTTTTTTTTTATCACACTGGCCAATTCCCACCAAGGCAGGGTGGCCCAAAAAAGAAATACTTTCACCATCATTCACTCCATCACTGTCTTGCCAGAAGGGTGCTTTACACTACAGTTTTTAAACTGCAACATTAACACCCCTCATTCAGAGTGCAGGCACTGTACTTCCCATCTCCAGGACTCAAGTCCGGCCTGCCGGTTTCCCTGAACCCCTTCATAAATGTTACTTTGCTCACACACCAACAGCACGTCAAGTATTAAAAACCATTTGTCTCCATTCACTCCTATCAAACACGCTCACGCATGCCTGCTGGAAGTCCAAGCCCCTCACACACAAAACCTCCTTTACCCCCTCCCTCCAACCTTTCTTAGGCCGACCCCTACCCGCCTTCCTTCCACTACAGACTGATACACTCTTGAAGTCATTCTGTTTCGCTCCATTCTCTCTACATGTCCGAACCACCTCAACAACCCTTCCTCAGCCCTCTGGACAACAGTTTTGGTAATCCTGCCCCTCCTCCTAACTTCCAAACTACAAATTCTCTGCATTATATTCACACCACACATTGCCCTCAGACATGACATCTCCACTGCCTCCAGCCTTCTCCTTGCTGCAACATTCATCACCCATGCTTCACACCCATATAAGAGCGTTGGTAAAACTATACTCTCATACATTCCTCTATTTGCCTCCAAGGACAAAGTTCTTTGTCTCCACAGACTCCTAAGTGCACCACTCACCCTTTTCCCCTCATCAATTCTATGATTCACCTCATCTTTCATAGACCCATCCGCTGACACGTCCACTCCCAAATATCTGAATACATTCACCTCCTCCATACTCTCTCCCTCCAATCTCTCTCCCTCCAATCTGATATCCAATCTTTCATCACCCAATCTTTTTGTTATCCTCATAAGCTTACTCTTTCCTGCATTCACTTATAATTTTCTTCTTTTGCATACCCTACCAAATTCATCCACCAATCTCTGCAACTTCTCTTCAGAATCTCCCAAGAGCACAGTGTCATCAGCAAAGAGCAACTGTGACAACTCCCACTTTGTGTGTGATTCTTTATCTTTTAACTCCACGCCTCTTGCCAAGACCCTCGCATTTACTTCTCTTACAACCCCATCTATAAATATATTAAACAACCACAGTGACATCACACATCCTTGTCTAAGGCCTACTTTTACTGGGAAATAATTTCCCTCTTTCCTACATACTCTAACTTGAGCCTCACTACCTCGTAAAAACTCTTCACTGCTTTCAGTAACCTACCTCCTACACCATACACCTGCAACAATCTGCCACATTGCCCCCTATCCACCCTGTCATATGCCTTTTCCAAATCCATAAATGCCACAAAAGCCTCTTTAACCTTATCTAAATACTGTTCACTTATATGTTTCACTGTAAACACCTGGTCCACACACCCCCTACCTTTCCTAAAGCCTCCTTGTTCATCTGCTATCCTATTCTCCGTCTTACTCTTAATTCTTTCAATTATAACTCTACCATACACTTTACCAGGTACACTCAACAGACTTATCCCCCTATAATTTTTGCACTCTCTTTTATCCCCTTTGCCTTTATACAAAGGAAACTATGCATGCTCTCTGCCAATCCCTAGGTACCTTACCCTCTCCCATACATTTATTAAATAAATTTCACCAGCCACTCCAAAACTATATCCCCACCTGCTTTTAACATTTCTATCTTTATCCCATCAATCCCGGCTGCCTTACCCCCTTTCATTTTACCTACTGCCTCACGAACTTCCCCCACACTCACAACTGGCTCTTCCTCACTCCTACAAGATGTTATTCCTCCTTGCCCTATACACAAAATCACAGCTTCCCTATCTTCATCAACATTTAACAATTCCTCAAAATATTCCCTCCATCTTCCCAATACCTCTAACTCTCCATTTAATAACTCTCCTCTCCTATTTTTAACTGACAAATCCATTTGTTCTTTAGTCTTCCTTAACTTGTTAATCTCACTCCAAAACTTTTTCTTATTTTCAACAAAATTTGTTGATAACATCTCACCCACTCTCTCATTTGCTTTTTTTTTTACATTGCATAACCACT